AACTGGCGCCGTCCGTAGAATCAGACACCAGGTCACCGCGCCCGGGCCGCTTCGTCTCCATTCTGCTTGCTAACTGCGGGGCCCCGGCGCGGGGCTTAACTTCTCCGAGCGGCCGCTGCTCTTAGCTGCTCTCGCAAAGGCTATGGCAGCGCGTCCTGCCCGCGCGTGGAGCCGTGCTGGGCACACAACGGGCACGGCAAACTATTGTCATTATTATGCGGTGTTTTTATCGTTAAGAGAAAATAATGTGTCGACAAAGAGCGGCACATTAGTCAATCACCAGAACCGTCTGTAAACACTGCTCATCGCACACTTTTCTGGATAAACTTTAAGTGCTTTTAGGTCCGTTATCATCATAAGCGTAGAGGGTCCCTCCACAGGGTCCTCCTTTCACTGGAAACGTACTTGCTATTTAGGAGGCAAAGCCCCTGTTTCCCGCGTGTATGTATGTTAGAGGTTTGCTATTTACACTCAGAATCATAGGAGAGAACGATACTTGTTGTTGACACCATCTCCACAAAGCCCTTAAGAAAGCACCTGAGTGAAGGTAGCCAGGTCCTTGGATGGACCTGTTTCCCACTATAGCTCCCTAGTAAAAAGAAAAACAAAATAAAAACCAGAAAAGTTGGTTGGCGTTCAAAACTGGTGCCCCAGAAAACAGCACGGTCGGAAGTTTCTAGGTAACAGCGCCCCCCCGTTATCTGTCACTGTGACCCTCAAGAGCTCACGCATGGCACACTTCCCGTGGAGGAGGCCTTCACCCCGCGGGCAGACGCTGTCCCAGAAGTGGCCGATATTTGTTTTATTAACCTTTTCAGTTTTTAATTAGATTACTCAGTGCTCCAGATGCAACAGGTTCCTGGCTAGACAGGTGACGATGGCTCATGACATCAGGATGACTGTCCCACTGCACAGCCCTGGGACCCCCCCAGGCCCTGCGGGGGCTCGCCCTCCTCGCCATCGCCTCAGCAAAATATCCTCCCGCCCAGCGCTGAGCTAATTCACACGTTCAGATGACGTCATGGAGCATCTGCGGAGAACACGGTTTGGTATCTCAACATTATCCCAGGACAGACACGCGGCCTGAATTCCAGACACAAGGACCGAGCCACAGGTTTTCATGAGGTCCTCCAAGTACACAAACACACACACACAAAACAACTCTCAAATAGCCTTAAAAAAAAAACATCCTTCACTCTCTCAGGCTCTCTCTCAGGCCGGCAGGCCGAGTAGCCTCCGCCCCGCGCTGCGTGTAAGCACTGACCCCCGCGGGGAACAGCCGCGGGGGAGCTCCTTTTCCGTAACACGCTGGCTTTCCCACAGTGAAGGGCTCCCCTGGCCTGGAACGCCCAGCCTGCCGTCAGCCCCGCCGACGGCCGGCCGGGGCAGGCCCTTCCGCTCGGAGTCCTTCTGTCCCTCCCTGAGCGGCGGGCAGCACGGCGGGGGCTTTCCTTTTGCCTTGTTTTCCCCGCGCGAGCTTGGAGTTGAAGGCTCCGTGCCGGCAAGGCACGCAGCCACCTCCCCTTCTAGGCGACCTTGCAGCGGGGAGGACGGCAGGACGCCAGCGAAGCCAGGACCTTATTTCAAGCCCGAGGCGACCCAGGCCAGGACAGAGGATTCAGTATCGGCCGGGCGCGGATGGAGAGGCGACTGATGGACAGAGAGGCGGATGGACCGGTAAGAGCGGAGGACTAGCTGTCGGCAGCTGCTCACTCTGCGTCCGGCTTCGCCAGCCACGATTTCTTTCTGGCCCAGGCAAATCGCGTCATTGCTCTGGGGCGGCTCTCCGGTCTGATGACGCAATCAGGCCCGAAGGCTCTCGGGCTCCCTCCAGCTCACCCGGTCTCTGATTTCAGGAAACGAGAGCACTTTTCAAAAAACTTGGTGGTGCCAGAGCCATGTGGCAAGAATCACCCAGCATCCACAGCACCGGATGGTGAAGGGACAGCAGAGGTCTCACTGCCCCAGGGGCGGGACGCTGTCTGGGCGTCCTGGCTTACGTGCAGTGACCTCTCTTAACGCCGCCTCAGAAGCGGCTGCGAATGCTCCCAGCAGCCCGGACCCGGAAGCGGCCCGAACGCCTGCCGGCGGATGCAGAGAGGCGGACATGCAGCGTGTGCGGGTATTTCGCCCACACGACGGAGTACCACGCAGCCTTAAAAAAGAGGGAAACCCCGCTCTTCGCGGCAACGGGGCCAGTGGGCCCCGAGGGCGGGATGAGTCAGGCAGAGAAAGGCACATGCTGCCCGCTCTCGCTCCTGTGCGGAGCCGATAACAGCGCTCACAGAAACAGACAGCAGACGGCGCCGCCGGGGGCGGCGCGCGCGGGGGAAACGAGCGGAACTGGCCAGAGGGTGCGAGCTTCCGGCGGCGAGCGGCGTCAAGCCCCGGGAAGTGGTGGACGGCGCGGCGGCCACAGGTAACGGTCCTGTGCGAGGCGTCTGGGAGCTGCCACAAGAGTAAACCGTAAACGGCCTCAGCACACACACACACAAGCTGCGACTCTGCGGTGATGGCCGTGTTAACGGGCTTCACTGGGACCATCACGTCCCAGGATGTGGTGGATCAGATCATCACGTTGTAAACCTTAAACGTACACGTTATGTCACTTATACCTCAATAAAGCTGGCAAAAGGGTTAACTTTCTCCTTTTAAAAAAGTGGCGGCGGGCAGAGCTTCATCAAAAAGATGTATTCCCACCTTGAATCCAGGCAAATAAGAAAACGCAACACTGAATTTAGAAGCCGCCCCATCCCCCCGCCCGCGCTTCGCACACCGCAGAGAAAAGCCAGCGTTGCGGGAGTCACGTGGCAGTCTGCGTGGCTTTGGCTTTTTTCTAGAAGCTGCTGTGAAATGTGAGACTACCTACCTGGGCCTAAAACACCTCTTTATATCATACATATAATTACTCATTTAATTTAATTCTTAATTTAATTTTCCCTGACCCCAAATTCCATTTGGCAAGAAGGACTCCATAAAAATAGCTACCTCTTTGGAGCAACCCCCTTCAGTCTGTTCCGAGTGCCCTTCTCTATAACGACTGTTTTCTTAAGTTATGAAACGGCGGGAAGCCGGGGAGGCCGTACACACAGGCCGCCGGCCACTGCGATTGCACCTGTTCCCCCTCTCCCCGGTGGCTCTTAAAAGTCACAGCACCCTGTGGCTTTCCTGAGTCTCAACCACCTCATAGGCATTTTGAATGTTACAGAAAATACTAGCAATTTCTAGTATTTTGGGGCAAAACCCGCCCTGTTCCACGTGTGGGAGGGCAGACGTCGGGGTAGACACAATACAAGGGGGCACGGCGGGGTTTAGGCGTCTTCCTCCAGGAACTGTTGCTTGGTCAGGACGGAGATCCTGCAGCCCCCGAGGGAGCCTTTCTAGCAGGTTCCTTACCCTATAAGTCAATTTCCTTACACGGCAGACCCCCCACCCTGGGGCCTGGCTATGTGCTCAGCCTGCTTCCTCTTCGGTCCTCTGTAGGGGGCCTGAGGCACCTGCTGAGCTTAAACAGGGTCACTACCAGCCCTGAGTCTGCCATTCCTACTTTGGAAACCCACGAGGCGCGCGCAGTGGTGCCGGGCTTCGTTGTCACCTGCGTGTACAGCCTGCTTTTGACAAATAAAAAGGCCAGATGGGGACAGCGCCATGGAGCGTGGGAAATGGGGCCCGGCGGCCCTTCCCGTTCTGGGTGCTGGGAAAGCGGAGGCCGCCCTGGGTGGCTCCAGCAGGTGGCCAGCTGTGGCCAGGGCGGCAGGAAAGGCTGCTGCACGGTGCCCTGATCCCAGCGTGAAGTGCAGAGGGAGGGCCATGCCCCAGGGGCGACCTCACGGGCGCCCCCACGATGAGCAAGTGCTCGGCCAGACGGGCCTCAGCAAGGCCAGGGAGATGCGGGCAGGGAGCCTCCCCCACCGCCCGGGGCTCCTCCTCCGGGCCAGGCACTGGGCCGTCCCTCCCCCTCTTCCTCAGGGGCCTCCTGTTCTCCCGGTTCGGCCGCTGAGGGACAGAGGGCCGGGGGGCCTGCGGCCAGGTAAGGGCCTGAGCCAGGCTGTACGCGCTTGCTCCGGGGCCCAGGCCCTGGGTCCCTACATTTTACAACTGGCCTCCCTGCGCCTCAACTTCCGGGAAGAGTAGGGAGCCCTGGCTTTGAACCTCTCTCCCCTGAGAAGAGAGGAAGAGCTTCCGGCTGGGGACCCCATACAGTGTGGGGGCGCACAGGTGCTGGGCGGGGCCTCCGGCCCGCTCCACGGATCTGCGACTGTGAGGCGGCCTCTGTCCCCGGGAAGGGCGTGGTTTGGAAAAGAGTATTACCCGTGTTTACTCAAAGATAGTCATTAAGTCACCACGAAGACATCTCTCTGCAGACTAAACAACCCCGCTCCTTTTTAGAAAACTTTCCTCATCGGAGTTATTATGTTTTTTCCCTTTGGTGCCATCTTTCTATATTTACCGGTCTCCCCCCGCAGGCGCTCCCCCCCCCCCCCCCGTTTGGAGCGATCCTGTAACAAGATTTTGATCTGGGCCACGGAAGGAAAACAGTCATTTTCATAGTTTTCATCCCCAGCCTTAACAAAGGACCAAAAGGCCAGCATGACCGATGGGGAGGCCCTTGTGGTCCACTCTGACCCCCAGGCCTTTCTTGGCCCCCCTCCCCGTGGCTGCCTGACCTTCCACTCATCGTCTGGGCCTGAGCCTGCCAGGCTCCACCCGTCCCCAGCCTCGGACGGCCCGGAATGGCTCCCCCGTGTGCTGAGGCGGCCTGGCCTCCTGCTGCCCTCTGAGGGGGCGCTTCGAGGAGAGCTCAGGGCTCGGGCACGTCCGGGGAGCGACGGTGCCAACCGTGCAACGCCTTCTCCCCGCGGGGGCCCGACCCCCAACCCCTGGCAGAGGCTTTAGCCACCCGTGGGCGATGCCAGTCGAACCCAAGGATTGTAAGACGCTGTCCCTGGTGCCCAAGGGTGCCAGCCCCGAGCGTGTGCCAGCCCTGGGGGCCCACTTACTTCGGGGTTCTCGGGGTCCGTCCACGGTGATTTTGATGGCTCTGTGGTAAGTGGCAACTTGCGGTGGGTTTGTGAAGACAGTGATGGTCAGCGTGAAGCTCTTCCCTGTCGGACACAAAAGGACACAGAGGAATGAGGGGATGGCCGCAGCCCTCGGCTGCGTCACGGGCCCTGCCTGGCTCCCACCCTTGACCTGGAAAAGGTGCAGGGCTTCAGCCCGAGTTCCTGGCTTTTCCAATACACCCTTGAACTGGGCTCTGCTTAAATCCTGAAACGCACACCTGTGCTGTTTGTCTGGCTCCAGCCCGTCACAGAGGGATGCGGCTTTTGTTGAATCATCCATAGACAACACAGGATCACGAGAGATTCGTGTTTGTTTCCTTTCGAGGAAAGACTCCAGGGGACGTAGGATCAGACTGACAGCTACCCACTCCCCCAGCCTGTCTCCCCTTCCACAGACTCGGGCCAAAAGGGGTGAGACACAGCTGATCCCTCTTCCTCTCGGGTGCTTTGTACCTCTGAGGATGAGGAGAGTTAGAGTTTCTAAGGTGGAGGCTAAATTAAAATCATTCTCTGTTTTTCAAAAATACTAAATGCACACTGATTTTAAATATTATTTTTAAATGCTAGATGTTGCTAGAGACACTCAAGGGATTGGCCCAACACAATTTACAGTCAATATATGGACTTAAGGATATGTCACCGACAGATTGAGATTCTGAGATTCAGTTGGTTCCACAAAGACCTATGTACACATGACTTTCCCTCCGAACATTTCATTTACACTTACTCCCTGGGCCTCAGCCCCTGACCTAGACGGTGGGTACACAGAACTTTTCCCACCTTACAGAATTTGAGGGGAGGTTAAGTGAGTTGCTATGAGTAAAACCATCAGAACTGTATCCCACGCATGGTGTTCGAAGGTGTGCGTGCGTGCGTGTGTGGTGCTCACTATTAGATTTCTTTTCCTCTGCTTCCCACACCAGGGTCCTGAGGTTTGACTGAGCAGTTGGACCTCCTACGTCAACACAGTCCTGCGCCAACTAACAGGTTCTCCTCTTAATCGTGCAGCATGAAATAAAACCAAAAAGAAACAAAAGGAACACAAAACATGCCCACCTATTCCCCTATTTGCTCCCAACGCCATTCCAAACATTGTCTTTCTTCCTCAAGTTAGAAAGAGCAAAAGGTTTTCAACTGCCATGCATGTTTGATGCAAAAGAAGGCTCCAGAAAGATGCTCAATGGACATCTCTTTGGCCACAGCAAGCCAGTGATTCCTGATCATGTGAAACCCCACCAAACCACCCCCAAGCACTGGCATTCTGTCTATTTAAAGCCCGTGAGAACACCACCAAATGATGGTCAGATGATGAAACCGGCTTTGCCCTGCGTGGCTTTCTAGCCAAGGCCATGGCTGGCCTGACAGGCAGGGCGAGGCGGGCGCCAGGGGCCTGGGCGCCGGGGGGACCGGCGGGACCGGCAGGCCCGGCACCCGACTCCGCTGCCCTGCCAGCTGGCCTTCTCTGCCGGGACCTGGGGAAGCATCCTTTGGCTTGTAGGGATTTGCCATCTTTAGGACATCCTTCAAATGCCACCCGGTGACAGTCCCAATTGTTTTCGACGCTGGCATTGAGCTGACGCGGAGGGATGGGCAGGAGAAGCCGCCGGCCAGGCCCGGCGAGGAGGGACGGCGGGAGAAGGCCGGCACGAGACCGACGGCCCGCCTCGTGTTTGTGGGTGGCTTTCGAAGAACCGGCCAGAGGAGCGAAGGCGGCCGCGGCCCTGGGAGCGGCCCTGTCCCCGCCCCCGCTCCTCTGAGCATTCTGGTCCTTCTGTCCCTTCTCTGTCAACAACCTGCCAGAGTTACTGCCGCTATGGTCAAGCCTGAGTCCCACCACTGCCGCGGCCCCCCACCCCCGCCCGAGTGCCCCTCAGAAGCCAGGGCACTGCCGCCCTGCGGCCTTTCCTCCTCTGCCACCTTCCCCGCCCCCGCCCCAGCCCCTGGTCCGCTCTTCCTGGCGTCACAGTCGGGCGCACAGGGGTCACCTTCCAGGCAGGCTTCCTGGGGACCGGAGCTTGACTCGTGGCTGTGCCGGGGCTGCTCCTGAAGGAGCCTTCACCTCTGCGCAATTAGGGCACCAGTGGAGCGGGGTTTATGGCTGTAAAGGCGTGAGGACACCCCCCAAGGGGGGTCGCGCCCCCTTGACAGAAAGGCGAGAAAGGGTGGCAGGTGGAGGGGCTTCAGGGCAGAGGGGCGGGAGCCGGGGGAGGTTCGGTGAGTGAGAGTAAAACCATTAAAGCTCTATCTGGTGCGCGGTTTTTGAAGGCGTGTAATGAAGAAACAAGGACCACAAACAGTGAGCGATGCCATTGCCCCAGTGACTGAGCAGGTGTGTGTCGGGGGATCAGCGAGCACAGGAGCGGGGCGGGGGGGGGGGGGGGGGGGGGGCTCCTTCTGCAAGGGAGTCAGGAGGCTTGAGTCCGAGTACCAACGGTTTGACCCTGGATCTCAGGTTCCCGGTCCGCGCAGTGAGGGGGTTGCTGGGCCACTCCCTCGTCACTTCCAACTCTGGTTTCATATTCGACAGCAGCCCTGAGCCCCCGTGTGCTTCCCAGGGGGCCTGTGACATCGGCATTCCGGAGCCCGGGAAATTCCCACGTTTGTTTTCCAGGGCCGCGGGAAGAAACTACCACGGACCGGAAGGCTCAAAACAACGGAAACGTCGTCCGCTCTGTTTTGGAGGCCAGAGCCCGCAATCAAGGTGTGGCCGGGCCACCCTCTGTCCGAGGCCGCTTCGGGGGAACCCTCCTTGCTGCCCTCAGCGCCCCAGCTCTGGCAGGGGCTGGCAGCCCGTGGTGGCCCTCGGCTTCCGGAAGCCTCAGCCCAGTCTCCGCCTCCTTCGACAGGTGGCCTTCTCCCTCTGCCTGTCCCCGCCTCCAAACCTCCTCCTTCTTGTTAGGACACTGGTGGCTGGGTGCAGGGCCCACCCTAAACCGGAAGGACCTCGCCTTAAAGCCCATGTCTAAATACGCCCCATTCTGCTGTGGCAGGCGGACAGGACTTTAGGGACCACATAGTCCCGCACGAGCACCGGTCTTGGCACCGTGGGGACAGCCGCTCTGCAGCTCTGCGGCACCTGCGCATTTCCACCTCCAAACGGCCCCGCCCCCGCCCCGCGCCGCCCCGCCCCTGCGCTCCAGCACGACACGGAGAATCGCTGTCTGCGCCACGTGAGCGTTTTGCGGTCTGGGCAGCACCAATGACCTTCCCAACGCTCTCCCACATGCGACTTCGTTTGACCCTCACTGCAGTCTCATGAAGTGAACATGAGCTGTTACTGTTCTCAGTGAACGGGCAGCAAAGCCAAAGGCTCAGAGAGGTTAAGTCGTTCACCCAAAGTCACACAGCGCGCATGCCCGGCGGAACCCGCGCCTCCCAGCTCTGTGCTCGCTGTCCCTCCCAGAGCTGCCACAAGGCCCGCGACTCGTGCCTGCAGCCCCAGGGGTGCCAGCCCCGGGAACCGGTAACCCCCGTCCCTCCACCGCAGCCTCCAGAGTGGGGCAGTGCCTGCGCCCCCAGGCGCCCACGCTGTGCCCAACAGCGGACCACAGGCCTGGATTAGCGTTCAAAAGCAGGTTCTCTCTGAGCCGCGTGGGGCTCCTGGCCGCTGAGCGCTTCATGACGCCTCCAGGGACCACCGAAAGGCCTCCTTCATTGGGGGGTAACCACGGTGAGTATTTGTGAAACCGCTGCTCAAAACGAAGTCTATGATGTACGCCCATCTTCCCAGGTGCAGTCACAAGAAACGTTCGTCCGGCCGAAGCGCCTAGACGGGGCGCTTGGGCCACAGGGACATGGCCCACAGAGGAGGAGCTATTCCAGCAGCTTCCCTCACAGCGGCTCCCCTCTGCCGCTCTGACCGGGACGCCTGCCTCTTGCCTCACAGACAGAGGTGGTGAGGGAGGACATTTGGCTCACAGGTGCATGTGTCATTTTTCAACCGCGGGAAAACGCTGCCTTCCCCTTCTTTGTGTTCTTCCGAACTTGACCGTGGTGGACGGTCAGCCAGTGGGCACAGGGATGGACGCGACGGGACCCGCCAGGCCCCGGCCCATCCCTGCTGGGACACAGCCCTTCTGGGCCGGCACATTAGCCAAATTCTCTCATTCAAATGACCAGTGGGCTGGTATTTGGAGTACGTGGGTGTGGAGCCCGAAGGCTCTCAAGTGTTTTTCTCAGGAAGCTGTAGCTGAACTAGGAAGACGCCGGGAAGGGGAAAGGAGAGCAGGTTCACAACACAACCCCACCCCCGCCGCCCCTGCAACTGGCCCTGCAGGACCAAAGGCAGGGGTGGGGGATGGGGCTGCTGGAGAGGGAACAGAGTCCTTTGTGGGGGGGGGGGGGGCGGAGCTCCAGGGCTCCCGCGGCCCTGACTCTGGCCACATGAGACAAGCAGAGGCCAGGCTGGCGCACAGATGACCCGGGCGCGCTGCTGAAAGGCCCGGCTCCCAGGGGCCACGCCGCAGGGCACAGGGAGTCGCCGAGGAGGGGACTCAGGCAAGGCGGCTGTGAGACCTCCCCTCTCACCCTCAGTTCTGGCCGGAGGTCGGGTCCGGGAAGAACACTGCAGAGAAGCCGAAGTGCTAGGGCTGAATAAACGGCAGGGAGACATGACAAGGTGAGACACGTGTGTCACGGTTTGTAACCTGAAGCCGTGGAAGGGGGAGAGTTGGTCGTACAGTCCCGTGGATGGGGCATGCTGGGTGCCTACGGGACCGCGTGACCCTCAGCCGCGCCGCCTCTGCCCATGTCCCAGCTCTGCCTTCGCACGCTGGGTGGCCTCGGGCCAGCTACGTAACTTCAGCTCTGCCCCCTGCAAAATGGGGGTCATGCCAGTCCTTCCATCTCACAGTGTTGTTGGGCAAGTTAAATGGGATCAGGAACCAGCAAGTCCCAACTTAATCATCCCCAGAGACATGACGAACAGGACACCGCAAACCCAGAGCCGGGGCCGCCTGCGGGGAGGCGCTGCCGTCGGGTGGCGGGTGGCGAGGGGCGCACTTGCGTTCTGCATGGCGGTGGAACAGGCCTGAGGAAAGACC